AGTCCTTGACAACTTCAATTTTTTCTCCGTTGATAAGAATGTTGTTTATTGGTCCAGTGGTGAGGATTTTTGTTTTCTTACATTGAGATGCAATCCATACCGAAGGCTGTGGGCTTTGATCTTCATCAGTAAATGTTTTAAGTCCTCTTCAGTTTCCGCAAGCAAAGTTGTGTCATCTGCATATCGCAGGTTGTTAATGAGTCTTCCTCCAGTCCTGACGCCACAGTTTTCTTCGTATAAGCCAGCTTCACACACATATACACATGCATTTGTGTGCATTGGTGTTTGTGATGTATCTGTGTGTGGTGAGGGTGGAAGCATGTGTGGGTGTGTACGTGTATGTGTTTGTTGTGTGTCCCTGTATTGCTGGGCCAGTTGTGTGGATGGGACAAGGGTGTTGCTTATTCTCCCATGACACTGTTTTCCTGTGGAATCTTACAGTGAGTCAGGTTCCAGTGACCCATTCTGGCCTCTTATTATTCCTGATTAGCTTGTCACCACCTCTTGTGTCTAGAGGAAGGGTGGCCAGCATTCATCTAGGCCTGCACACTAACCTGCCTCCTCCCTCTGCTCTGGGGTCAGACAGCTCTTTCAGGCTTCAGAGTCACGGACCTTCGAGAGAATGGCAGTGCTGGAGCAAAACCCCACATCGGCTTGTTACTGAAACCCTGCAGTGACCCCAGTGTGCAGACTCAGGTCACCCACAGACCTGTGTTCCGGGGTGACTCAGGGTGGGGCACCTGGACTATTCTATCTGAACTGCCAGGTGAAATATGTTGTTGTTAGATGCCATCGAGTTGGTTTCAATTCATAGTGACCCTGTGTATAGGGTTTCGGAGAAGCAGCTGGTCAAACTAACTTACTATGCAGTGCGTTAACCCACAATGCCACATGTTGGTTAAAAGAATAAAACCAGTGGATTGAGAAATAGCTGGTACATACTGTACTTAAAGATTGAGATATTTAAAAACAGATGAGGGACATTATCTTTCAGATTTGTCATCATTATTAGCTTGCTGGCCACACATGTCTGGAGCTGGTCTCCACAAGGAGACAGACCCCCGCTTGTGTCTGTCCTTCTTCACTTGTGGTTACTATTGCTTGCTTATGTTTTCTAGTCCATGTCCTCTATTAGCATAATAGTCTGTGCCATCGGGTCAGTTCCAAGTCACAGCGATCCTCTTCACATCAGAACGGAATGGGGCCTAGGTCTGCGCCACCCTCACAATCGCTGGTCCACTAGAGCCCATCGCTGCTCCCACTGTGCTAGTCCATCTGGATGGGAGTCTTCCTCTTTGTCGCCCTCCACTTTACCAAGCGCGATGTCTTTCTCCAGGGACTGGTCCCCCTTGATAACATAAACAAAGGAGAGACCAAGTACTGGCTGTACAGCTTCCAAAACGGGTCTGTTTGTCCTTCTGCAAGGTCATGCACTTTCAGTATTCTCCTCCAGCACCATAACTCAAATGCAATCCTTCTACAGTCTTCCTTACTCGTTGTCCAACTTGCGCTTGATATGAGGTTATTGAAAATAGCATGGCTTGAGTCAGGTGTACTTCATACTGACATCTTTGCTCTTGAACACTTTGTAAGAGGCCTTTTGCAGCAGATTTGACTAAGGCACTATGTCATTTGATTTCTTGACTGCTGCTTCTATAATCGTTCATGGTGGATCCAAACAAAATGAAGTCCTTGACAACTTCAAACTTTTCTCCATTTATCATAATGTTACTTAATGGTCCATTAGTGAGGATTTTTGTTTTCTTTACATTGAGGTACAACCCATACTGAAGACTGTGGTCTCTGATATCCATCAGTAAGTATTTTAAGTCCTCTTTACTTTCAGTAAGCAAGATTGTATCATCTGCTTATCACGTGTTGTTAATGAGTTTTCCTCCAATCTTGATGGTATGTTTTTCTTCATAGTCTCCAACTTCCTGAATTATTTTCTCAGGATACAGATTGAATAAATGTCGTGAACGAATGCAACTGTGGTACACACCTTTGTTGACACATAAATTATATAAATGACTGTACAGCTTTGGTTAGAGGGGACGTCGGGGTGTCAGTGGAGTATTGACAGTGGATAAAACGGTTGATGAACAATTGTCAAAATTGTCACCGCAACAATACAAAGGTTTGGAGACTTCAGTCTCTGGCTGTGTCCTGTAGAAATACAGAATCTGTCCAGTCCTGATGGACTAAATTCAGACTTCTGTCAGGGGTGGTGGTGAGAAGTCCCAGAAATGGCACTTTAAGCAGACACATCTGTCAGTTTTACATAGACCACAGAGAGCTCAGTGTGTGCTCATCAGATAGCAGCCTGCCAGCATGGCTCTGTTTACTGTGTTCTCCTTGGTGGCATTGGTCACTTCCTGGCATGGTGCACTCTGCCCCCATAATAGAGGACAGCCGGCCCTGAGCCAGGGTCTAACGGTGTGTATGAGGAGACAGTCCCACCGAGAAGTGGGAGCCAAGTGAGCAGAGTGACCTCCCAGCTAAGGGCGTTGGCGGTGGATCTGTTCTTTCCTCACACGCTGATTCACGCTTCCTTTCCATCCACAGCCGCTCAGCACTGCGTCACGCGTGTTTCTGCTACGTGCTCATCTGTTCCATCCCCGTTTCTGCCTATGTCGTTCTGGTGACGTCCCTGCGGTATCATTTATTCATATGGAGCGTGTTTTCGCCGAAGCTCCTCTATGAGGGGATGCACCTGCTCATCACAGCTGCTGTTTGCGTTTTCTTCACAGCCGTGGATCAAACCAAACTCACGCCGTCTTAGACTAAGTTGTACAGACACTGGGAAAACACTGTTTTACAAGTCTGAACCTCACAGATTTGAGGGATGAAAAATCTGTTTAAATGCAAGCGCATTCTTAAAAGGTGACGAGTAGCTGTCATTTCTCTGACTGCTCTACTTGAATAGACTACATGACCAGGGTTTGCTGTGTTCCCTCCTGCTGGCAAAGGTCCCTGCACAGTAATCGAGTCTGTAGCCTTAGGGTTTGCTTCTGTTGGCAGAGACTTCTTCAGGAACTTGGGAAATCTTGCTTCCTCTGGATAAATTCCATGTACATTGATGTCAACGAATCAAGACGCCGGCCTCTGTCTCCAATGTTTGGGTTTTCAGAGAAGCCAGGTGCACCCCTTCACAACCTAAAATCATTGTGGTCCAAAGAGGGTTAGTTTATATGGGGTCTATCGATCACTGTTTGTGATGTTTGAAATTAAAACTTAGAAATTTCTAAAATATTTATTTGTAAAAATAACTGGTCCATGGCGTGCTGATATGACATATTTTTATGAAACTATTTTCCAAAACAAAGCTATTTTATGAGAAGAGTGGCATTGTTTACCATTTTTCAAGTCTCTTTAATGTCTGACTTTATGGAACCTGCTTCCCATCTGTTGGGCTGTGTTTTTGGTTGAAATATGAAAAAAATCGAAGAGATTTAATATTCTTTTTCAGGTCGTTGTGGAAGTTCCTTTTTGATACCACACCCAAACTTGACAAGTATTCGTTTCTTGAAAGTGAGTTGGGAAAACAAGATCAATATAGGTGTTAAAACTGGGGCCCTGCAGAAGGCATGTCCCTAAGCTATGGGGTTGGACTGTCGCTGGCGTCCTGCCTGTGATGGGGTGATGCTGATGCCAGGACCTCTTGGGGAGCCTGGACAAAGGGTACATGGGACTCTAGGACCATTTCTGTGATTTCTTTTGCATCTTAAACTATTTAAAAATAAAAAAATATTTTTTAAATGACAAGATAAATTGTCACATGGAATCTGTTATATTAAAGTCGAGTCCACTGCTTGGTCCTGAGATCCGTGACACCTACATTCTCGCTGAGAAATAGCAGATCCAGGCATTCTGCGTCTCTCCAAATGTTGGCATCCATTACTCACTCAGTAGCTAGAAGTTGCTCTCCTCCACTCCCCTGTCAGTTTGTCACACTGGGGTGGCTTGGGGGTGGTGGTGATTCTGGAAGCTATGCCACTGGTATTTTAAGTACCAGCAGGGTCATCCATAGTGGACAGGTTTCAGATGAGTTTCCAGAATAAGACAAGCTAGGAAAATGAAGAGAGAACTACTTCTAAATATTTAGTCACTGAAAAACTTATGAATAACAGTGGAACTTTGACAGATAGAACCAAAATAGTGAATATTGACACATGATGAAGAACGCCAGAATATTGTCAGATAGAGTGCTGGAAAATGAGCCCCTCAGGTTGGAAGGCACTCAAAGTACAACTAGAGAAGAGCTGCCTCCTCAAAGTACAGCTGACCAAGATGCTGTGAATGGAGTAAAGCTTTCAGGACCTTCGTTTGCTGATGGGGCACAACTCAAAATGTAGAGAAACAGTGGTAAACATTCTTATTTAGAACATGAAATGTATGAAGTATACATTTAGGACAATTAGAAGTTGTCAAAAATGAAACGGAATACATAAACATTGATATCCTAGGCATTAATGAGCTGAAATGGACTGGCATTGGTCTTTTTGAATCACAGCCACATGATTTGCTATGCCAGGAATGACAAATTGAAGAGAAATGGTGTTTCATTCATCATCAAAAAACTTCAAGATCTGTCCTGAAGTACAATGGCATCTGTGATAGGATGATATCCATACGCCTCCAGAGAAGACGGGTCCTGGTGTGCTGCTGTAATGTAAGCACTGGACTACAAGGTCGATTTCAACTGCAAGATCAGCCTGTACAGGGTGTCTATGATGCCCAACCAACTCGGCAGCAATGGACAAGAACAAGGAAGATCAGTTAGTACAACTAGTATTCAAATTTGTGCACCAACAGGTAAGGCCAGTAATTATGAAATTGAAAGGTTTTACCAACTTTTTCAGTCTGAAATTAAACAAGTAATCAAGATGTATTGATAATTACTGCTGATTGGAATGCAAAAATTAGAAACAAAGAGGAAGGAACATGGAGAGCCATCAAGGCAAGCAATCAAGTCCCTTCTGGAAAAACCCCCCTCTAAGACGGAAATGCAAAGGAAACACATGAGCAGGCATGTAAGCTTGCTGATGCCCATGTTGGTCTACTGGTGAATGGAAGAGAGGGAAAGGCAGCAATGAAGAAATGGGCTGAGTTCAACCACATTCGATAGACTCCCGTCAACCTGGAGATGAGAGAGAGAAGAGGAAGGGTTGGTTGGTTCAATATGTGGTGAGACCCGGGGACTCCTGAGCCCATGGACAAGGACATAGCCACGGTAGGCTAGAGCTGAGAGTAAAGCATCCAGCTGATATGAAGAGAGGGAAGATGCACAAGACCACCCAAATTAGCAGGTGTTGTGAATTGCTGTTGAGTTGATTGACGCTGTGGGTTAATGCACTAGATTGCAAAGCCATTTGAACTAAAAGGTCAGTGGTTCAAGCTCACCAGTTACTCCTCAGAAACCGTATACAGGGTCACTATGGGTCGGAACTGACTTGATGGCACTTAACAAATTTTCAGGTACCCATTATATCATTGCTGCTGTCCGATGGATCTTGGCTGAAAGCAGAGAATATCAGAAAGGTGTTACCTGTGCTTTATTGACTTTGCAAAGGCTTTCAATTGTGTGGGTCATGACAAGTTATGGACAACATTGCAAAGTATGAGTATTCCTGAACACTTGATTGTGCTCACTGTACATGGACCAAGAGGCAGTTGTTTGAACAGAACATGGGAACGTTGAACAGTTTAAAATTAAGAAAGGTGTGCAACAGGGTTGTATTTTTCACCATACGTATTCAATCTGTATGCTGAGCAAATAATCCAAGAAGCTGGGTTCTATGAAGAAAAACGTGGCATCAGGATTGGAGGAAGACAATTCATTAACAACCTGCGATATGCAGATGATACAACCTTGCTTGCTGAAAGTGAAGAGAACTTAAAATATTTACTGATGAAGATCAAAGCCCACAGCCTTTGGTATGGATTACATCTCAATGTAAAGAAAACAAAAACCATCACCACTGGACCAATAAACAACATTCTTATCTATGGAGAAAAGATTGAAGTTGTCAAGGACTTCATTCTTCTTGGATCAACTATCAACACTCACAGAAGCAGCAGTCAAGAGATCAGATGACGTATTGCATTAGGCAAATCTGCTGCACAAGACCTTTTTAAAGTGCTGAAGAGCAAAGATGTCAGCTTGAGGACTAAGGTGAGTCTGACCCAAGCCATGGTATTTTCAATAACCTCATATGCATGCGAAAGCTGGACAGTGAATAAGGAAGACCATAGAAGAATTGATGCTTTTGAGCTATGATGTTGAAGGACAATATTAAAAGTGCCATGGGCTGCCAAAAGAACCAATAGATCTGTGTTGGAAGAAGTGCAGCCAGAATGCTCCAGGATGGCCAAACTTCATCTCTCATACTTCGAACATATTGTCAGAAGGGACCAGTTGCTGGATACGGATATCATGTTTTGTAAGGTGGAGGGTCAGAGAAAAAGAGGAAGACCCCTAGCAAGATGGAATGGCCAAGTGGCAGCATCAATGGGCTCAAGCATGGCAACGATAGTGAGGTTGGCCCAGGATCGGACAATGTTTTTCGTCCTGCTGTGCATAAGGTCGCTATGAGTCAGTACTGACTCAGCACCTAACAACAACAAACGCATTGAGTCCTGGTGTGGCACTGTGGGCTAATGCATCAGAATGCAAAGTCATTTGAATTGCAAGGTCGGTAGTTCAAGATCACCAGCTTCTCGGTGGAAATCCTATACAGGTTCACTATGTGTTGGAATTGACTTGATGGCACTTAACAACAACAAAAACCCATTTGACCTAGCCTCGATGGCTTGATAATCAGAACTCGACTAGAGGAAGATAAAAAAAAAAAAAAAAAACTTATAAAGGAAACAAGTGTAAATAGCTACAATTTGATGAACTTGACCTATACTTACGAATGTAATAGCTTAAAATACCAACTGAGAAGGGGGGGGGAGGTGTCTCCATATCAAGTATCAGTGCTATCCCCTCTGTATACAGGGTAGATAGAGACGGGCAACTTAAACACTGGCTACCTAAAATAGGGCTATAAAGGCACGAAGTGACTGGCTTACAAGTTTTCAAGAGGGAGTTTAGTTTAAGAGTGTATAGGGGAAGAAAGAGTCCCCACGGAATAGTTTTCATCTGGTCTTCTTGGAGCTGGTTAAAAGAGATGTGGGTAAGATTCTTATGATTCAATTATGAGTAATTGTTACCATGACTAATTGCAACTGTCACATTGTAAAGGTAGAAATTTTGTAACAAAAATGGGGGAATAGTTAATCTTACAGTCCAGAAACAGGACCCTGGGACCATCAAGGGACGACAGCACAAGCAGAATGTGGGACCCTATCCAGATAAGCAGCGACACCAGAGATGGAGGCAGAAATGGGGACATGGAGAGGGGGAGCGGCTGAGGACTCTGGACTCATGGAAAGAGAGAAACTGAGTGCTATCGGCCAAGAGGCAGGCTTGCAGAATGTGCCCTTTGGTTGTTTAAATGATATACTCCTGAGTGTGTTTATGTACATCTCACCCCACCCCACCCCCCAAAATAAAGAAAAATAGGGAGTGGAAGCAAATACTGTTGAATGATGATGCAGGAGGAGATTGTAATCATTGCAATGAAACGATGTTCCCTCCTGTAAATGATCACTCAGTTCACAATAAAAAAGTTAAAAGGAGGAAGGATCAGTCATTGGAAAATATGACCATGGTGATAGAAATGATGCTGGAAATCACAGGATAGTATTTTACAAGACCAATGACTTCATTGCAAA